GTCAGGAAAATAAACCTCTTGTTCCAGTGATCGTTTCTTCTTCTTCCGAATGATAATTTGGTCATGACCACAAGTAGGGACGGTTTTTGAAATTGTATTATCAAATGTTTCCTATGTTTTTTTCCTTTCAGGTGTCCCAGCATCTGCTGTGGAAGCTGTTGCGGTTGCTACGACCACAATTGGTGTGGAGGCTGTTGCGGTGGATGCGGTGATTGTGGCTGCGGTGGCTGTGGAGGTGGTTGTGGGTGTGGTGGTTGCGGAGGTGGATGTGGGTGTGGTGGCTGCGGATGTGGGTGTGGTGGTTGCGGATGTGGATGTGGCGGATGCTGTTAACTCATGTACATATTCAATGTCTTTTCCTTCCGCTTCTTCACTTAGTGGAAAATCAAAGTGTTTAGGAAAAACTAATAAAAGTCTTCAACATCCTAAATTTCTTCTCGTTTTCTTTTTCTTTCGGACTTGCTACGGAGAGGACGAATTGTATTTAGTGTGGCTTATAGTCTTCCGGGGAAGAAATACACATTGTTTTCACAAGCATTTTGTGATAGGAACTCAAAACAAAATCTTTTCTGGTACCAATTTTTGTTGAACGCAAGATTAACTATCGGGAAATAACTCTACAGTCAAGTTCTAAGTCTTTTTTTTATTGAACGCCTTTTATCAGCATAAGTTTATTTTTTCTGCATCCTAAATCTTTGCTGGAGATAGAAGCTGTTAAATGAAGCTAATGCAGGTGTTGGATACTAAAATCCCAACCAAATGTGACCAAAAAACCTTGGGAATTGGTAATTTGAAAGTTCGTTGAGGTGGGAGGTCTGCATTAGTACTGCCGGTTATTGAGTCGCAATGGCATTTAAAATCATTCGAGAAAGTGATGAGTTTTGCGTGCAGAGCTTTCAATCGAAATCCGACGTCCATATGCGTGCAACTGAGAGGGAACCTTCCTCTTGGTAATCCAAGAGGTTACACTGGTTTTCTGGGACACAGACTACTGAGCTCAACCTTT